GTCGTAATGTCTAACATCGATCCGAAGTCGCGCGGGCCATTCTCGAGCGATATCCGCCTTGACCACGCTTCGATCCGCGTTAAATAACATATATTCGTGACCTATATAAACCTAGAATTCACTGCTTTCTATTCAATATGCTGAATATTTAAGAGGAGGAAAAATGAGTGTAGAACAAGAGTTTTCACGATGAATTCGCGTCTAAATCCCCGCGAGCTATAGAAGAACTGGAAATTATTTTTTTGTCATTCACGCGAGAGAATTATACAATGAGAAATTCATTTGTTACTCCAGCACATTTGCGACATATACGGTATGTCCCTTTTAATGGAAACAGTTGTATATCTCCTAAATTTGACATCAAGGCGGATGGTGCAGCCTCCATAACAATATTTTATAAATATTTTAGAATATTATATTTTTCTCTCTCAATAACGCCGTCATTGCTTGAGTTTCTAATAGGCTTAATTGATAGACTGAATCTTCATTATATAACAAAAGTGTTTTTATTTTTGCTCTATTTCTACTCGATAAACAGAGATATGATGCAAAATTTCAATATAGAAATCTTCACTTAAGAAGCATTATGGTTATTTTTGTCTTCCCGGACAAATATAATATACTACATCTCGAATCTCCGAGACAAGATTGGATTATAGTGACGCTTGGTTGACGATATCAAATATGACAAACAAGATTATATACGAAATATCATAGATATATATTCGAGACTATTATTCGACAAATTGTTGAGTTATACAGGATCAATCACTAAAAATTACTACTTCGAGAATTTTTGAAAAAATTATTATTTGAAAAATGTAAATGAATATTATGATCAAATGACAATATACATCAATACCTAATGTAGAAGTCAGAAGTTCATTATACCGGAAAGCAAAAAATGAAAAGATAGACGTTGCCCGCGATATTTCAAACCGATAAAATTATTTGTGAAATAATTACATTAAACCATAATATCATTATATTTACTACGAAACGCTACAACTATTATTATATCGAAATATCCATATTATTATAAAAAATTATGCATATCTCTCTGTTCCTTAACACAGATAGCTTTTATAAGTATACGCAATAGAGTTCAATTTGAGCTATTTAACTTGATATATATTTGTTACGATTTATCCTCTTAGTTTAAAAGATAAAAGAGGGTGGCCACTTATGGCGGAACATCCTATACATAATGTTGATTAAAAATTTAGTTGAAGCAAATTGTGGTATAAACTGGCTTGTATATGTGCATGTGTGATTAATAGTTTTTCATTACATACTTTATCTAAAAAAAATTTGTAAGTGAAAAAAGAGTACAGGTATGATGCACAAAAGATGATGCAATAATATTCAAAAGCATAAAAAAGGATGGAAGGGGGAAGGAATATGTGCAAGGCCTAAAAATAAAATATTGAAACATAATGTTTATATAACGTCGTTTATATATTGCTACAAACTGTACACTATAATAGATATTCGAAAAGTACTAAAATGTATGACCAATATGCTGGATACAATACAATACTGGAACGAATCCCTTGTGATGTCACATCATCGAATTTCGATTTTATTCTTTTTAGCGCTTCATATTTATGTCACGTACACATCATATATGACGCGCGAGGAAGATACATTCTAAACGTTTTACATAAAATTATCAATGTTGACCTAGTAATGTGCCTGATTACGCCTTCGCCAAATATTCGTATAATATGTAGATCGTATTCATGTTGTTATAATTCACACAATAAAACAAATATTATATTGTATTTTAATAAAACTTATTTTGATGATATCGCCCATATTGAGATTTGTAATATAATTATACTATAGTATATGCTATAGTATAGCATATAGTTAAAATATATTCCATTGTTTAATATACAACAACATCAAAAAGAATACGAATTGCATCACACGGTTGGTATTGACGCATGCTCAACATCGATCGATCATTCCCTATTATTTTCTTTCTTTTGTTTATTTCTGACCATGTACAATTCCAATACATTTTTATCAAAAATAAAAAGAACAACATATAAAACATATAAACTAACATATAAAAAGACACATAAAAGAAGCAACAAAAATTTTAATTGTCCTTTATACAATTTAAAATACTAGATTGATAAACAATTATTTCTGTTTTATATATGTCTCTTCTCATTAACAAACTAAATAAATAAAAAATTTTTAAACTAATATTTCTCTCAAAATTCGTAAAATATTTGGAACTCATTTACTACTCATATATATATACATATATATTTCTGATATATTTAAGAAATTATAATAATTTGGCTTCAATCATGCTAAAAATCATAATAGGACTATATATCTTTTACCTACATTTTTTTTTAATAATAATGATGCATATTTACTTTAGACAAAATTGAGGAACAAAGTGTATAAAGTATAAAAAATTCACACATTTTTGCGTTTTTAGCTGCACTTTTTAACATTTCTCTCTCTCTCTCTCTCTCTTTCTCTTTCTCTCTCTCTTTATTTTTTTCTTTTATATTTAAAATAAAATATCTGTAATTTATATATTCTTTCGTAAAGAGAAAAAATATATATAAGCATAGAGAATAAAATATGCGTTTTCCTGCGCGCAGTTATCAACGGAGTTACAACGTTTGAGGTCAATAACACTTAATATATTTTCCTAAGAAGCGTCCCTAACCTTTGGCATTTTATTGGAAAATGACATTTATTCCACGTACTGTAATAGAAAACAGTCACGCGAAGTACTGTGCATTTTAAAGGAATGGATCTCTCATTCTTGAAACGATCAATCGGAATATATAGCTGGTATCTATAAATCGACTTTATAAATCAACACTAGTCTCGTTGTCGGGGCGCATATCCCCTTTCGTCAATATGGCCGTTCGATTCGCGTCACAATAGATTTAACTCATTGCTTACACTCACCAGGTATTGCTTGCAATGTTTTTTATGCTTAATGCAGGCGGGGCGCTTCTTTTTCTTGGAGGTAGCAGCGGCGGTAGCGGCGATCAACCCATTGCCGGGCTTTTCCTTACGGGGTGTCGATAAGTTCGACTTGTTTGCAGGCATCTTTCACCCAGTTCCAGTTATTTTAGCTATTTTACCGTCGATTATTATACCAATTATTATATCAATTATTATATACCGATTATTTACCAATAATCCGCAGACGTCAACAACAATCAATGAGAATAGATTTTACAGTGCAATGATAAAAGAAAAAGAGACAATTGATAACGACCCAAACTTTCCTATTTCACTTAACACAAGCTGCGCACAGATACACGTGTACGCTACTGTGTGTGCGCGTTAGACTGCGGTCGGGGAAACGCTAGAGATGCCTCGAAGCATTGTATTAACCAATCAGAACAAAGGAATTTTTACTTTTTTTATCCCGATTGATCAATCAAACTTTTCGAAACATTTCTAGCGTTTCCCCGATTGCAGCTTATGATGCACATTCGACTAGATTTGACCGCGCTCGGTCCGAAACCACACCCTTCGTACTGTTACTTGACGGAACGCCAAATTTTTTCTTTTATATTTAAAATAAAATATCTGTAATTTATATATTCTTTCGTAAAGAGAAAAAATATATATAAGCATAGAGAATAAAATATGCGTTTTCCTGCGCGCAGTTATCAACGGAGTTACAACGTTTGAGGTCAATAACACTTAATATATTTTCCTAAGAAGCGTCCCTAACCTTTGGCATTTTATTGGAAAATGACATTTATTCCACGTACTGTAATAGAAAACAGTCACGCGAAGTACTGTGCATTTTAAAGGAATGGATCTCTCATTCTTGAAACGATCAATCGGAATATATAGCTGGTATCTATAAATCGACTTTATAAATCAACACTAGTCTCGTTGTCGGGGCGCATATCCCCTTTCGTCAATATGGCCGTTCGATTCGCGTCACAATAGATTTAACTCATTGCTTACACTCACCAGGTATTGCTTGCAATGTTTTTTATGCTTAATGCAGGCGGGGCGCTTCTTTTTCTTGGAGGTAGCAGCGGCGGTAGCGGCGATCAACCCATTGCCGGGCTTTTCCTTACGGGGTGTCGATAAGTTCGACTTGTTTGCAGGCATCTTTCACCCAGTTCCAGTTATTTTAGCTATTTTACCGTCGATTATTATACCAATTATTATATCAATTATTATATACCGATTATTTACCAATAATCCGCAGACGTCAACAACAATCAATGAGAATAGATTTTACAGTGCAATGATAAAAGAAAAAGAGACAATTGATAACGACCCAAACTTTCCTATTTCACTTAACACAAGCTGCGCACAGATACACGTGTACGCTACTGTGTGTGCGCGTTAGACTGCGGTCGGGGAAACGCTAGAGATGCCTCGAAGCATTGTATTAACCAATCAGAACAAAGGAATTTTTACTTTTTTTATCCCGATTGATCAATCAAACTCTTCGAAACATTTCTAGCGTCTCCCCGATTGCAGCTTTTGATGCACATTCGACTAGATTTGACCGCGCTCGGTCCGAAACCACACCCTTCGTACTGTTACTTGACGGAACGCCAAATTGTCTGAATTTTACGCCATAGTTCATAACATAATAGGTCAAAAATCGAGCAAAATGAAATAAAAAGATCTTTTTTATATGCTTAAAATATTTATATGGTGTGTGTATATATGCAAAATAAAAAAAAACGGGGAAGCCTTACAACTATCCACACATTGCAGCTATCACGGTTGGGACATTTATCAAGCCTTGTTTAGTATCCTCTGCATCCATTCTCAAGGCGAAAATCATAGATTGCATTCGTCTTGACGCTGTATATAAGCGATTAAACCGTTTGATTGACCAATCAGGATAGAGAAATCTTTGTTTCAATTGGTGAATCAAATGCTTTCAGTGCTTACAACGTCAAGACGAATATAGGATGCATTCGGCGCACTCAACAGTTGAGCAGTTGTCAATACTTGATGTTAATTTGTTGGTTCTAAAAGCGAAAACCAACCACTATTGAGTCTGTTGAATGCGCCTATAGTATTAAATGGAATCTTTTCTGTGATGAAAAGAAAATTTGCGATAAGAGGGGCATCAGTAGACTGAAATATAAGTTCCCCTAGCGAGATGAACATAGGAGTGGGGATATTCATATGGTAAACATAGGATAGGTATACCCACGTTCACCTCGCTAGGGGAACAGAATCATTGTCGGCAGTGTACAGTCTTATCAAAAAATTAACTCGTAACATAACTCATGGCCATAGATATTTAGCATATCTAGATCGGCCCCTGCTGTAAGATGCAGGCTCGAAATATATATGATGTTTTTTAAAAGAAAAATTCATTTTATATTGAGATTTTGCATCGTAATATCTTTGCTTATAAAACATGTAGGATAAAGATACTTACCTTACATAATTGAGACTCAAACATTTGATTTAGCTTATTAAGAATTTGATCGATTCAGCCGTTATTAAGGTCCGATAATGTAAGGTACTTTCAACTAGTCAACTAACGTATAAATACACGGGGTGCCTCGCTGTTGTTGCGCGTGAAATTGGCGGGAGACACTATCTCTTCATTGCGGAATTTGTTATTTGCATTTCATAAAACTGTTACCGCTACTACCTATTGTTAGATATGTAAATGTAAATAATCAGTATCAGTTGCAAAATCTATTTTATTTTTATCGTCTTTTATATTTGAAAAATGTTTAAGATTGTTATCAAAAAATAATTTATGTGTCGGTTGTAATGCATATATATGTGATGCATATAATGCATATATTGTGATGGAACGAAAATATTACATAATATTTTATTATCTGCATTGCGCATTTTTTTTTTGTTTAAATATTTTATATCAATTTCTTTATATGCCAAAGACGAATTGTTTATAATTTTATACAAAACATTAATGTGCGCTTAAAAAATTATCTTTTTCATATATATATATATATATATATATATATATATATATATATATATATATAC